AAGGTTAGGAACAGGGACAGCCTTCTGCAAGCAATCAGGCCACCCTGTTTCTGCTCCTCATCAGATAACATGGTTTTTAAAGTGCATGGGGTGTCCCATGTCAGGTGCTAGACTGTGCTCTGAGGTGGGTGAGCCATGCTCTGTTACTTCCCACTAATAGTATCAGTAAATTGCCTCTATTAACTTTGGATATGTATGCTCAGCTTCAAGCTGGAATTTTCCCGTTTCAGCTACTTAAAGAAAATATAAATAATTTGACAGGTTTGGTGGTGGATAACACCACTGCTTTGATAGTATGGCAGATGACCATGGCTGCTGCCTTCCCAAAGTATGAGGTAAGGCATAGAGGAAGTCTTAATTTAGCTGGTATGGTTTAAAAAACCCTAATGTATCCCTCTGGGTTCACACAGAACAGGCACACTGACAGAAGACAACATGATGATGTTTCATGGGCTACCTCTTCTGTAAGAGCAGCCTTCAAGGGCAAGCAGGTTGTCCAAAGGCACAACCCAGCTCCTCACAGCTGTGCATGATGGGAGGACAAGGCAGCTGGTGTAAGCTGAAACTAGACAGGTTCAGACTGAATATGAGGGAAATCACCTTCGTCGTGAGGACAGCCAAGCTGTAGATCAGATTGCTCATAGAGGTTGTGCAGGCTCCAGCCATGGAGGTTTCCAAGACTTGACCCCAGGGCTGACCCTGCTCTGAGCGGGTTGGACTGGGGAGCACTCGAGGTCCCTTCCAACGTGAATTAGCCTCTCCTTCTGCCAAAAAATCCCCACCATGTTGTGCTGCAGAAAAGCATCTTGTTGCAGTTTTAGTTTTGCTGCATAGAATGGAGCTGTTGCATTTACTGGTGGGACTTTGATGGTACGTGTGCTAAGAGTATATATTGATCCCCATCTTAAGAGCAGAGTTCAGTACCTGAGTGAAATGGTTGTGGAGACATTAGGTGATTCTCAGCTTAAGAGGTGAAAGAAACATTGTTTTGTCTTATTCTTTTTATTCAAACATCTTATTTTTATGAAAGATAAAGGTAATTTCGGTAAGTAAAGACTAACTCATTATTATGCATAAGCAATTCCCAGCCTGGGTCTGGATTAATTATTACTGTTGTTGTTACTATTAGAGCAATAGTAAAGTACTGAAGAAAGCTGTGAATTTATAAAATATTCAAGACAGAGACGTGGCCGTACAACTTGTAGACAGGAAATGAGTTCCTGGTATTTTAATATGCAAAGTTATGGGGTGTTACTTCCACACTCACCTCATTTTGCTTATTTTAAAATTATAATTCTTACCACATACCTAGCTTTCTAATATACTCCAGTCTCTGGGCTGTCTTGTGCCATTGGTTTTAGGCAAACTACCTGTTGTTCTTAACAGGGAAATCTATTGATTAAAAAAAAAACCAAACAACAAAACAGTGATGTGACATGGCTTGATGGATGGGGTTCTGCTACCCAAAAAACAGGTAGCAGCTCCCAAGACCATTGACCCTGCAGAAGTGGAGCCTCTCATTGCTGTATCTGAGTGATGGACAATGGAGTCCTGGGAGCTCCCAGTTCCTTGGTACAGCTTTCCCTCTCCCACTTCTTTGCTGGAATGGAGCCTGTGGCACACCCTCAATGCGAGCCACAACGTGCTCCTAGTCTGGATAATTATAGGTTGAAAAGTAGTTTTTCTGCTAAAACTTTCCATTACCCACCTGAAATGTGGTCCTGTGCATTAGGCAAGGCTAGTTATAGAGGAGGAAGGCAGAGAAAGGTAAAGGCAGAGGTAGGTACCATCCTTGCAGGATGAGAGGGGTGACAGAGTGCTGGGAGTCTAATCTGTCTGTTCATTGTTAATTATCCATTGCAGACCAGGAGACAGCTCCTTGGAAGTGATTTTTTCGTTTGGACTTGCATGGGAAGTGCACAGCAGCTTGTGATGTGCGTGCTGATAACTTTCACTTCACGGGTGACTGGAGTTTCTAGGGACCGAGTTTCAAAGCAGTCTGTCTGTACCCTCAGTTTCAGGACTCTGACTCATGTGGGAGCAGGTTAAAAGTTGTATGAAGCAATTATTTTCCCTGCTGCCTGTCTCATGCCGCTGACAGAGCTTGTGCCACTGTGCACTGGGTCGGAATGAACATCTTGTGGGGCAGCTCCTGAACGGCTGCGGTTCTGAGAGCTGTGATGAGCAAAGCCTTGCTCCAGCAACTTGATGCTGATTCCTTCTAAATTTAAAGCACTCAATTTTGTCTGTGTATTTGTTTTGAGGTGGAGTGCAAGAATGCAAAGCGGACTCTTATTGTAGATGTTGATCCAACCAACGCGGTTAGTACCTTTGCATATTGTATACAGTTGCCTATTCTGTTTGGTTGGTATGTGCTGCCATCTCAGTTTGGCTTTCATATTTGACTTTTTACTAAAAAAATTCAGGGTCTCGTTCGACTGAGTTACAAGTTAGGATTACAAGTTTGAGTTCTTGTTCTTGTGATGACTGGTAGTTGGGAATCAGCCTGGTTGCTCTTTGAAACTAGTCTCAGCAGGAGTTCACAGGGACACGGAGACATTTCCCATTTGTTGAAAAAGGAACGAAAAGTTGCTTATACATGTTTGGCTGCAACCATTGTAGGTCCAAAATGTGAAAGCTGGTTTTAGAATTTATTTGATTTTCCTAGCTAGGGCTAGATTAATCTGCTCACTATTTTCAGTGTTCATTCCACTGCAGTTTATTTTGGGTCATTTCATTTCAACAAGGCTTGATCTGTTTACAGCACTTTCTATAGTAGCGTGAAGGGGCCACACAGCTCTTTTATAGTATGTTCACTGCTAACCAGGAGCTCAGAAAAGTAGTAAATGAGGCACAGACATGAATAAGTTTAGAGAGGACAGTACATTTTTGTATGCTTGGATTATTTTGGAAAGTTTTCTGAAATAACCAGTCTTTTGTGCATTGTGGGTTGCTTTGCAGAGCTTGAAGTGATGGTATATAGTTGTGTGCTTTCAGAGTTAAAAGAGGAGGGCTGGCTAAAGGCACTCTTCAGGCTTAAGATACTTCAGAAGCTACTGTATTTGGGAGTTGATCTCAATCTTTATTTGAGGAGGACTCCTGTTTCCATAGGTAGATAATTCCATCAGGTAGAGTAGTTCAATTTGATTATGCCATTTTAATTTGCAGATTTGGTGTGTGAACCATTCATATATCAAGTAGATTAAAGTTAAATAGATTTCAGATAAAAATGTTTTAATCTTGTCTTCTATTCTGTTCTGTTCCAAACAGTTTGCCTTGTCAGCCAATACAAAAACATATGCTCATTGCCTGCACTGAGCATGCTCCAGTTTAACATGATGAAGGCAATGGCCTTCTGCCCCCAGATGGAAGATCCAGCCTTCTGTGTCCATCAAATCGTGACTATTTCTGGTTCTGCTCATGCCAGCTGACAAAGTACCATTCCTTTTCTGTACTTCATGAAACCAGACAGCATTAGTGACTTGCACAACAGAAGTCAGAAGGAAGGCATGATGCCCTGAAAATGGCTACATCTATCCTAGCAGGCTAACACAGCACCAAGAAGTGTTCCTGAGAGCCGAGACCAGTTTTTTTCCTTAGATTTTTAGCTTTGTTGAACTCTTGTTGCCTCTGCCATTTAGCATACTCCCGAGCAGTGGCCAGGCACAGTTCAGGAGAGGGCTATTCTCAATGGTTCCATAGTGCGGTAGTAGCTGTTTGCATTCCCATCAGCCTCCCTGAACACGTGGAACTCACTCCTGTGTAGGTAGCTATTACATCCTTAATAGCAGATGAGTGGTAGAATCAGCAGTGTTTCAGTGTTGGAGTGAAAAGTGTATATGTATATGTTAATGTTTTCTTGCCCACAGGAGACTATTCCTGCTTGTCTATCAATTGTGAAGCCCTTACACCAGTGATTGGAAAGTTTAAGAAGCACTTTGTAAAAATGTCTCAGTTTGGAAACTTACCTTATACGAGTTGAGTGTGTCAAATGCAGTTTGACTAATGCTCTAGGTCCTCTGGTCACAGCTTTCAAAGTTTTGTCACCGTGAGCCATGTCCTCGAGGAACTTCTGATCTCAGCAGGTCTTGCCCTGCAGCTGCACAGCCTGCTGATGCACCCCAAGGTTTACCCTTTCTGGGGGAAAACTTATGAGCACATCTTATGCTGCTCTACCTATGTTTTGGTCAGCATGCACTGCTTGTAGAGTTGTGCTCCATGTCCATCTACTCCAGCACAAGCCACCTCAGAGGTGACCGCCCACCCTTATTCTTATTGTCTCTTGATGTTTCATAACTGTCTAAAAAATCCTGGTTTCAGGTTGATCAGGAGGTCTGTTTTTGCTCTGTACCTTCAGATTAAGCTTCATGCACTGATTCTAAATTTAGGCTGCAAAAGTACCAGCTTGACTTCTGTTTTTATACTTGAATGGAAATAGTTCAAAGTTGTGCTGATGTAATAAAAACAGGAGGCCAGAAGGCAGTGAATTGGAATAAGGGTGAATCTGTGAGAGAATATGAGCAGAGAGTGGTCACTTCAGATCCTTATTGCCATGAACACACAATTATTTTTTAATACAATGTACTTACAAGCTGTGTTTCTCTTAAGATTTAAATTTGTTATTCATAATGTAATGTCATTTCTAAAAACATCTATGGTATGGTAACACCAGGTAGTCTGGGACACAGGGAGACACAGTTCAGGCAGCCTGGGTAATACTCAGAGTATTAATTGTATGGCAGTGATCTGTACTTAACAGTGAAAATGCTGTGTCAAAGTCTTTCTCTTTTTTTCCATGGCTAATGGCCTTGATGATCAGTCAGAGGTAGTGGGCTGAGGCAGAGCTCAAGGCCATCAGCTCCTCCCAGTCTGCTGCATAGTTCCCAGGAAACACCCTGGGTTTCAGGAGTTCTTGCTTAGCTTATGGTGTAATATTCTGCTCCTAGGCATTAAACTGTTGTCAAAAGCAGCAGGCGAATTAGTGTGACTTCTTTTTCCAGGGTCGTTGTACAAGGGAGAACTGCAAGTACCTTCATCCACCAACACATTTAAAAACTCAACTGGAGATCAATGGCAGGAACAACTTAATCCAGCAAAAAACTGCAGCAGCAATGCTGGCTCAGCAAATGCAGTTCATGTTTCCAGGGACACCACTACAGCCAGTGGTAAGTATGTTTCTCTGATGGTGTTAATGGTAAGTCAAGTTGAAGACTATATAGACCTGGGAAAGTTCTGTAAACTAATATCAATAAGAATAGTCCCAATCTGTTGGTATAATGAGTTGCCTAAATACTAGAGATACATTCACTTTTATTTGCATCTGAAGATGTATTGGAATGTTTTTGTAGATTTGATGTATCTTTTAATCTCAGAATATTTTTTTTTCCATTTTTTTCCATCATTCAGTTAAAATTTATTCTAGATTTGCAACATTTTTACCTATAATCCTTCTGGAGATGAAAATTTATGTAATAGTAATTTGTTAGGAAGCTATTGGAGTAGGAATGCAGAGGATTTTAGGAGTCTATGGGTTTGAATGGCTTCGAATAGTATTTAATCCCAGTACAAGGAACAAAGGTTAGTGTCATTCTAGGTAGCATTTTCTTACTCTTGGAATCTGAAGCATCCCAGAATAAGACAGAGAATTGACCATACATGCATTTTACAAACTCAGCATTTTATCTTAAGGTAATATGTATGGTACCTGAGACTCTTTGGATCCTGAAGGTGACATAAAATTAGAGTCTTCCACACATGAGCAGCATCTTAGGCTATACATTAAAATCATCAGTTGCTCTGGGATGCCTTTGCAGTTGAGTTCCTCATTGTACCAGATTTCCAAAGCATGGTTAGGCAAGTAATCTGAATTAAATTTTTCACACATGGCTGCTAATGATATTTTCTCAATCAGAATGCCTAGTGTAAAGCATCCCACTGGAATGGGATTTCTTTTTCTAACTTGAGGCATCTGGAGTGTTGGCATCAACTTCTGCAGTGGGCTTCCAAGGTGCATTTATAGTTTAGCAAAAAGCTAAACTTCTAATTACTATTCGCTTGGCTCGTTTCAGACATCTGCATTTGGTTAAGATGATTTGGGTTTTTGAGTGCCTTTGTCTTTCCATGGGCTATCACAGGAGTCAAGCGTAAGCATCTCAGAGGAGGACATATTATTTGGTCCCCAGAAGCTCACCTCAGATGCCTTTTTCAAATGTCTTTTTTCCCTTGAAACATCTGCTGCTAGGTGGGAGACACATAAAAAAATTGGTTGTCAGGAGTCCCTGCATTTCTAGCACATGTTCATCAAAATGTACCTTGGTCTATTGGCATAATGTGTTTTGATATTTCATGGATTTTACTGCTTGAGTTTTCACAAGAAAAAGTTTTGATGAAGTAATAGATTCCACCTCTCAGTAATATGAAAAAAATTGAAGTGGCAAAATTGTAGTTTTTCCTACTCACTGATTTCATTATTTGAACTTTACAATGTCACTGACGTAATGCCTTCAGTACTGCTTGCTGTGATAAAAGTGGCAAGTTTTATTTCCCTGTGTCACACAAATTGCCAGATTAAGGTGACTCAGCATTGACCGAATGGATAAAAAGTGAAAGAAAATTCCACAGGAGTCATTTGACGTGTGAATTTGTTATTGAAATTATATCTGATACAAAGCTCTTATTTATATTTTACATAATATATATTGTCCTCAACATAGTTGAACTGTTTTTTCGTATAAATGTTCATTATTATGCTCTGAAGAATTTAGGCTGCCCTGGACATATAAACTGGGCTGTTTGATATCAAGCAGTTTTGATCTCTGATAAAAACAGAAAATTATTCACTTCTAACTCTCTACGGCAGGTAGATGCTGTTTCCATAGAGTTGGATATCCTGGCTGATCTGCTGCTCAAAGCATCTTCTTGGTGCTAACTCACAGTCATTTATAATTTAGGAACAGATTCTAGAGGAAAAAAAAGACAAAACCAGAACAAAACTGAAATGACCCTGCTAGCTCCTCTGCTTTCTCTTGTGTATTTTCTACATACTGTGTGCACGGCTACTGTCCCTGCTCCAACAGAGGATGTGCAGGGCACCTGGATGAGAAAGACACTCCTCCTTTGTTAAATGTTTTTGTGTTTTCTTAGTGTTCTGCTATCGTGTGGTTCATTTCTAACTGCCATCTTATTTGGGAACCTAATTTCTGACAAAGCTAATCTGAGACGTGTCCTGTTTTTCTGCATAGTTTTTCCTAATTTATAGTCGTAGCTTCACTCTCTGGGGTAAATGTCAGCCTGGCAGACCTAGAGCACATTCCAGATCTGACCGTGGTCTGGCCATGGTGATGTTCTGCCTCCACCCCCATGGAGCTAGTGGTAACAAACCCACCATTCTGCCTTGGCAGGGCTGTGTTTTAGTATCACACAAGTGCTCTTTCTTCTGGTCATGACTTCACTGACACGCTGTAGGAAGGCATGAAACAGATTTTTAGACCTGTATCATTCCTTCCAATCAATTTTTTTGTAAGATGAACTCTAGCTAAGCCTCAATAATCCCTTTCTAAATACTGTGTCCAGCTGAGATTATAATATTTATTCTTCTTGCCACTGGTGACAGCTGAGCACACAAATATTTGCAAAGGTGAGGTTTTTTGGTGTGTGAACCATAGTAACATATAATTGCAAGAGGTGGCAAAATACAGCATGCAAGCAGATGGAAGTTACATGCCAAAGAGCTCATTATATATACTAATATTAGAAATATGGTTTTAATATAGTTAATAACGCTTCACCTATGAAATCTCCTACTTTGAAAAAGAGCCTGTTTTCCCAAGGAAAACGGGTATTGAGAAAAAGCAATAAAGTCTATGTTATTTCTACTTTTAGATGTGTAAATAAGCCTGCAGTGTAAGCTGGACCTCCGTAGAGTTTCAGGTTCAAAGTACAACTTCCTTTGCATCGGCAGCCTCTTTTCCAATAATAGAGCTACAAAGGCTGTTCTTCGTGTGCTGCTGGAATGTGTTCCATGATTAAAAGAAGAGGGTATGCCGGGTGTTTTGCCAGCTGTCTGAAATTTTTTCATTAAGAAAATGAATCAACGCCAGAAAGAACATGCAAAAGACAACGAGTAAGCTCTTGATTAAGGGGTTGGGTTTTTTTTTTTCATCTTGGTCTGTGTTTTCCTTTTGCAGCCCACATTTCCAGTGGGTCCCACAATAGGAACGAACACGGCTATTAGCTTTGCTCCTTACCTAACGCCAGTAACACCAGGAGTTGGCTTAGTCCCGACTGAGATCCTGCCCACGCCGCCCGTCATTGTTCCTGGGAGTCCACCGGTGTCAGTCCCCGGTTCAACTGCTACCCAGAAACTCCTCAGGACTGATAAACTGGAGGTACTGTAGACACCACTGTGATGAGAGATACAGTCCCCTCTTAGGCAGTGTGAAAGGTCCTGGAGGGAATAACTCTATTGTTTTAGAAACAATGCTTGAATTTAGTAGCTACAAATAAAGACCTTGTAACCAGGCAGGAGTTGTACGCTTGCAGCCAGTGACAGTTAAACACTGTTATTTTTAAGGTAGTGTGTTCATTCAAATTTAGTACACAGATATCAACGTGAATTTTCATCTTCCCTAAAGTTCATCTTCTCCAAAATGCCTGAGGTATACATGCCTGTAAAGGTATGCCTTGATGAAATATCCAGCAAGCACTTTTTTACTGCAGTATTAATTCTGTCCTGGTTTTTATGCATTGGTGTTAGGGGAGTTTTATAGCCTCATGGATCAATGCTAGGGGAATGTTAGAGACCATCAGCCTTGAGCTACAAATGGAGATGCTGAATGCTACAAACCCTGCAGCAGGCTGAAGGGGCAAGCTGCCAGCTCTGTGCAGAGCCTCCCTGGTGTTGATGGATCTCTGTGTGGCTGGGCTCAGTGGAATCTGTGATCCAAGTACACGAGAAGGCCAAGTAGCTCTTGCAGAAATGAATGTCCTCTCCCAAAAGCCTAAGCACTAGTGTCTAGAGCACGTTTCCTCTTAGGAAAATCGATGTGTTCATTCTGACTGTTTTTGAAACTTATTTTTAAGGAGGCTCTCCATTTTGTTTGTATACTCCATAAAAAAAAAAACAAACATGCATCTGATGCATATCTCCCCTGGGTCTCAGCAAGATGAACTCCTTCCCCACCAGTGGAGCTGCGGGAAGATAAATTGTAGTCAGAAAGGAACTGAATATTTTGTGATCCCCAGCTAGTTTTTCAGGGACGGCTGCTTCAGTAAGTATCCTCCCCAAGTGTTTTCTGACCAGGAAAAACGGAAGGCATTTGGGAATACTTCTGTTGCCCATCGAGTCCCTTTAGCAGCCATCCTGCAGAGAAAGCGCGTCAGGGCGAAACCGGTGAAGGGGTTATGAAATGGAATATTGCAAAAACCGTGAGCGGGAGGGGTCGGGGCTGCGTTCTGGGGGCACGGGGCTCTCCCTGCCCCTCCACGTTGAGCCGGGCCGCCCCCTGCAGCGCGTGTCGTCTCGCACGTAGGTGTGCAGGGAGTTCCAGCGGGGGAACTGCGCGCGGGGAGAGACCGACTGCCGCTTCGCCCACCCGGCAGACAGCACCATGATCGACACAAACGACAACACCGTAACCGTGTGTATGGATTACATAAAAGGTCGTTGCATGAGGGAGAAATGCAAGTATTTTCACCCTCCTGCACATTTGCAGGCCAAAATCAAAGCGGCGCAACACCAAGCCAACCAGGCTGCGGTGGCAGCCCAGGCAGCTGCGGCAGCTGCGACTGTGATGGTAAGTGCTGGCTTATATGGCTGCCTTTTTTTTTTTTGACAGAAGCTCTTTGATGCCTATTTTGCTTCAATTTAATGCTGTTTGCTTATATTTTCTTTTCTCTTTTGCCTCTTTTTCTTTTTTTTTTTTATTTTTGTAAAAGTTAAGAATTTGTAAAATTATTATTACTGCTTGATGGGAGGAAGCACTTTTTTCTTTATGCCTTTGTTTTAATGCTGTATTTCTATCCAAGACAGTGAAGCAAATGACACTCTATACCACTTCTGTTCTCTGCCTTGATTATACGTTAAATTTGCCCCTAGTATTTCCAAACAGAAACAAAACCAATAAACTTCAATGTCCCCTGAAAAATGGACGCATACGCTGTTCTAGCTCTTGGATGACAGATACCCATGTGGAAATTTGGAAGAAAAGCAAAGAGAAAGCTTTTGCCTCAGAGACCGTTAGTAGAAAAGAAAGCTGTGTTAAGATTCAGCTCACCCCACCTTTGACAGATCCCTGAGCCTAGCCAAGCCACCTTGGTCTCACTTGACAGTTAGCGGAGAAATGGTATCAGCACATTGATACCATTAGTGCCTCTCTTGAGGATGAGAAAGAACTGCCCTCTGTAGATATACATCTATCTCCACTGTATCTTTTTGAACTTCAGTTGGATGAGTCTCACACCTAGACACTTTCCTTGGCTCTCCCACTGTCAAGGGCACGTGACTTGAATCATGGGTTTAAAAGGAGAAAACTAAAATGGAAATCATTAAGAAAAAGCATAGTAACTGTAGTCAGAAGAAAAGAGATTGAGGGCTTTCTGTTTTCAGGTACTTCAAGCTCTTACTTACTTAAAACTCTTCAAGCAAGTCAGCCCATCCATTTATCAGTATTGGATCTCTCTTACTGTTGCTTACCAGGAAGGCTGATAAGTTTAAATAGAGTGGTATTGATAAAGTTAAATAAATCGAGCATGCAGGATCTGATTTGAGAGACAAAATTGCTGGCAACAAATCAAAGAATCATTGTCCTTATTGCTGGCAGTGGACGAATAATTAAGCAGATGTGGTTTGTGGACTCGTGGGCAGTGCATACAATAGTTATAGACAATACAGTTATTCTCTGGGTAAAAAGCCTACCAGAAACACAATACAGTACAGTATATAACTACCCCGAGCTATTGTACTTAGCAAATTAGCAAAGACCAGACTTTGTGAGGGACAAAGGGTAAGTTATGCAAGAAAGTAAACCTCCAAAACAGAATATTTTTTAAGTTTTCATGTTCTTTCTTGTATAATATCCCCAGTCTCTGTTTCAAATTGGATGATTTTTAGTTAAACTTTCCTGTGTTTGCAGAAATCGAATACCATCTGGAAATTAAAGAAGAGGAAATTGGGTTGTGCGGTTTTTTTTAATTCTAATTATCTTCTATTGTGCAATATTTATTGTCCATTTAGAGAATGTAATATTTCTAGGCAGTCTACTAAAGAAGAGAGGGATGAGGGGATTCATTCTTTTGCACTTCAGTAATGGTTAGATGTGTGTCCTGTGATTTTAAAGGAGCTGGAATTGGAGTTGCATTAGCCTCAAAGCAAGGCAAAGCATCACTAGAAACACAGAGGTGAAATGTTAGCATTCTGATGTCAGAGGAGAAGAAGGCAGGGACATGTAATTCAGGGTAAGATTTTGCAGAAAAATATGTAAAAATATTTTAAAGGCATATTTAGACTACCAAACAGAAAGAGTCTTTACGATCCAACTACTTTTTCTTTAATGTAGATTTGAAACTATCAGACAGAGTGAATGAAAAATCACGGGGCTGGCAATCACAACAAAAAAAAAGTGGTAGAGAAGACACGTTTGCAAGGCCACTGAAGAATGACCAGGAATACTCAATTGGGTCTAGAAAGCAAAAGGCAGGCAGAAATACAAATGCTTACCTGTAGGGCTTACTTGCAGATTGCTCCCAGGTTGAAATAGTGTCTGAGAGGTTTTGCTTCCTGGGGGAGCTGGCTGCATTGCTCTGGTTCAGAGGGTGCTCATATAGGTGGGCGTTATAGACAGGGTTAGAGCACTGTGGGCAAAGCTCATGAGGCCATTGAAGGCCAGTGAATTCTGCAGTCTGGGACCTTGTAGAAAATGCCTTGTCTGTATTTCTGTACACCAAAGTTTAGGAATATTTACTGAGGCTTCTTAGGAGACTTCATTATTTGAAGTAAAAAAGAGGAAAGACAGTGTGAAGGAGGCTGTAGAGGGTGTACTGCTTAAATCTGAAGTGCATTAGAAGACAGAGTCATCTATCATTGTACTCAGGGAGCTCCATATATTAATATGGTGCATCAGAGAGCATAAAAAGTCACTGAAGAATGTACAGACTAAATTAAAATGCAAATTTGTCGTTGATATTGGGAGTGACCTCTGGAGATCACCTAGTCCAATCCTGCTCAAGCAGAGTGAGCTAGAGCAGATTGCCCAGCACATGACTAATGGGTTTGTGAAAGTGTCCAGGGATGGAGACTCCACAGCTTCTCCTGAGAACCTGCTCCATGGTTAGATCATGCTTACAGTTAAAAAAAAAAAAACAACAACAAAGAATTCTTCCATTTAAATGGAATTTCTTGTCTTTACATTTGTTCCCGTTGCCTCTTGTCCTATCACTGGGCACTGCTCATTGCTGTGAAGAGCTGGCTCCATCTTTACTCCCTTTTCAGGTATTTATATATACTGATGCGATCCCCCTGTGTCTTCTTGTCTCTAGGCTGGAGAGTCTCAGTTCTCTCAGCCTTTCCTCATGGCAGAGGTGCTCCAGTCCCTTGTCTTTGAGGCCCTTTATGGGACTGTTTTCTAGTATGTCCTTGTCTTTCTTGTACTGGAGCACCCAGAACTGGATGCACCCCATATGTGATCTCACAAGTGCTGAATAGAGGGGAAGGAAGGATCACCTCCCTTGACCTGCTGGTGATGCTTTTCCTTAGTGCAGCCTGGGATGCTGTTGGCTGCCTTTCCTCTGAGGGCACATTTCTGGCTCATGTTCAACTTGTTGTCCACCAGGACCTTGAGGGCCTTTTCTACCGAGTCTTTGTGGCCCCCAGCATGTACTGGTACATGGTGTTGCACGTCCTCAGATGCAGGGCTTGATATTTCTCTTTGTAGAACTTAGTGAGGTTCCTCTGTGCCCATTTCTCCAGCTTTTGCAGGTCTCCCTTGTAATCTATGTTGTGTACCAACCACTCCTACAACTTTTACAGCCCTAGTGACTAGCCTCCATCTGGACTGTGTGTTGCTGTTGACAATCTTTTGAGCCTGGCAGTTGAGCCAGTTTTCAGTCCACCTCACTATTTCCCAATTGGCACATACCACATAAGTTTGTCTGTGCGAATAAAATGGGAGAGTGTTGAAAACCTTTCTGAATTCCATTGGTTTCCTTTCACCCACCAAGCCAGTCTCATCATAGAAGGCTTTTAGGTTGGTTAAGCACATTTTCCCCTTCACAAATGTATGCTGACTACTTCTCATCACCTTCTTCCAAACACATGAAAGCCAAATGGTTTTCAGGAGGATTTGCTCGATTGCTGTCCCAGGGACTGAGATGAGGCTGACCTGTCATTCCTCAGACCTTCCTTCCTGCCCTTTTTTGGGATGGGAGTGTCATTTACTTTCTTGCAATCTTTGGGACTTAGCCCAGTCTCAGGGACCTTTCAAAAATAATAAAGAGTGGTCCCTCAAGACCCATCAATACATCCTGTCAATCTCTGTAGGTTTGTGTACATCCAGTTTGTTTAAGTGTTCCCTAGCCTGATCCTGCTCCTGCAAGGGTAGATCATCTTCACTTCAGACTTTCCCACTGGTCTCCCACTTGTCTGAAGACCTGTCTTGCCAGTAAAGACTGAGGTGGAGAAGATGTCCAGCACATCAGCCTTCTCCATGTCCTTTGTCACCAGGTCACCTGCCCCATTCAGCAGCAGGTCCACATTTTCCCTAGTCTTCCTTTTGTTGCTGATACACTTGGAGAAGCCCTTCTTTTTGTCCTTCATATCCCTTGCCAGATTCAACTCTAGGTGGTCTTTGGCTCTCCTAACCCACCCCTGCATGCTCAGGCTGTGTCCCTATTCCTCATGGGCCATCTGTCCCTGTTTCCACCTCTTGTGCACTTCCCTTCTTGAATTTGAGTTTAGTCAGGAGCTCCTTGCACTTCGGAGCAGGCCTCCACTGTGTGGATCTTGCTCATGTTCCAGGAGACATTATAGTGTATCAGTGTGACATACAGCCAACAAATACTATGCCTCGGTATGTTTCATCATTTTTATTATCATCTTTATTTCCTTTCCATAGGCTTTTCCTCTTCAGTCTGTAGCTATTGATTCTTTTTTTGTTGTTAGTTATGTGGCAGATCAAATGTTGAGCAGGAAATAACCTGATGGAACAGAAAGAGGCAAAGGGGCTTTTACTATCGGGACAAAATGAAAGAAACGATGAAGGTGGGAGAGAAAAATGGACAGTCAGTCTGAAGGCCTGAAAAGAGGGGGAGACTACATGGAAACAAGGTTGATGAGGAGGTCTAGAAACAGATTAAGTTAAAGCCTTCGGGTTGGGAATACTGAGAGATTGAACTTGCTATGGAAGATGGTGGGGAAAGCCAGCAAAATCTTCAAAATAGGGAGGTAAGGTTAAGGAGAGCATGGAAAAGAAGCGGAGAAAGGCAACCATAAACACAGAGATAATAAATTAACAAGTGAGATCAAATAAAATTTGCATTTGGGTAATAATTGACTGGGACACTTTAGTCTTAATGGTATTGATTTGAATTTCTGGACTTCAGCATCACATAATTATGACTGAACTTAGTCGTAATGCTTCACCTCTGTGTAGACTTCTATCTGTAGTGGATGCAGAGTGGATCTGAGGCTGTGCCCCATGCAGAGTGATGTCCTTCATGGGGGTACCCCACATCAGCTGCCCAGCTCCCTGCTTAGACCCAGGGAGGCTCTCCAGATCCTCACTTTGCACCAGGGGTTTCTTGTTATATCTGAGTCTTGGACGCAGGCAGATGAGCAGATCCTGTAGATCAGGGTATGTAATCTGGGGATGTGCTGAAGGAGAGATGAGGAGGGTGTTGGGAAGCCTCAAGCAGCACAGGTACAACAGCAGCAGGAACAAGGAATAGGCAAAGCGAGTGCTGTCGTGTTGGCATGAGCTGATCTTCTGACCATAAGCTGTTTGTGGGCATTTTGTGCCTTCTCCTCTGTTTTTTTCTTTTCACTTTTGTTCCATATTTCCACATACCAATATCAACATAGACGTAATCTGCATATCCTAAAAAGAGCTAGATATCATCCTGTGTTTAAAAAAACAAGAATAAAAATTCTGATTTCTAAGTCTTCCTTTCCTTTCTGAAGGTTCGTTAGAATTATTTACACTCTAAAACTTGGAAGTCATTTTTTTTGCGAGAAGATTTTTTTACAGAATGCCATCATATCAGTCATAAGTTTGATCCTCTTATAGAAGCACACATAAATGTATGTGCCTGTGTACTACACCTAAATACTTTATTTTAAAAGAAATTAGTAATGCTGGACTAGTATCGTAACTTGTATGTTAACATTGGCTTACGAACATGAGAGCGGTGTTTTTACTCCCTGCTCCTGAAGCTAGGGCTGAAGGTTGTGGCAAAATTTAGAGAATATATTTTAAATTCTGAAAGGTTTTTTTTCCCTCTCAATGTAATGTGGTAAGTTACAAAGGACAAAAAAAAAATCTGCAAAAGTAACCTAGCTGAAGGGAAAAAAACCAAAAGAATTAATGATAAGTTAGTGTAACTAGACTGCTTTGTATTGGAAAAGGAAAAGCTTCCTCATTTTGAACCACAAAACTATTGAAGATGCACTTCTCTTAACTAAAAGGCCCTCACCTTGCAAGCACAGATGCTGATAGTGTTACTAACACATTAGAACTTTCACTAGTGCTTTGTATTTGAAAATACAGCCTTCCAAATTGATTTTTTCCACTTTAAAATGTGAGTTAACTAACTTATCAGGAATTCTTATAGGCATATCCTTAAAACTTTCTGCACCTCTGTGAAGTGTTTATACGATGCTTAATAGTGTCTGCAAGCTGCTGTTTTACTCAACTTTCCTGAATTTCAAACATCTATATTTTACTCTCTTATATGCTTTTAACTAAGGTATAGTAGATGCATTTTTGCTTCGGTACTAATTCGAAATGTAATATTCATTTCTTTAGAAGACATTTTTGTTGTTGTGCATGCCTAGTGTTTTGTATGTTGTATATTGCATTCAGAATATTTTTTTCCTTCTCACCTATCCACAAATGCAATGCCGTTCCCATGATGCACCTCTGCTTGCTGTTTACCTGTATGTTAATTCGCTTGAATCCCATTGGCCCACTGCCATCATGTGCTCGCTGCCTGTTATTAAAAGACTCAGTCGACTGCCAAAGCAATGAAGCGACCTCTCGAAGCAACTGTAGACCTGGTACTTTGACCTTTCACCTTTTGCTTTGCATGTAGCTTTTTTTTCGTTGGGTTTTTTTTTCAGAGAAGCAACTAATGAAATTTGTATCGCTTTACTTTTGAACATCAACCGGAAATGATTTCACATACTCGTTAATTTACCAGAAACTCTATTTATCCATCTCATTCTCATACGTAATAAACGCAGACGATTTAGTTTGGTTCCTAACATGGTTTCATTTTTTTAAATATCCTCTCATGAAAAGTCGAATTGAGATAAAACTGCTTCTGTAATTGAAAACGCTTAACGTAATCCATTAATCTGTATGATAATAGGAAACGAGATTTAAATTTAAAAAAGAAAATACTTGGCAATGAAACACAAGTGGTTTTTTCTCCCTGTAATATTTGAAAACCTAAAGGCAATGCCATTTTCGTTGCTTTAAAGGCCTTTCTTTTCAGTAGTTGTGCTGCTACAGTTTTAGGTTAATAGTACCACGCTTTTGCTATCAGTAACAAAATTTCACTCATTTTACATTGCTGTGCTTTGAGTTAATATGCATGGCGAGGCATCTTTAGCCGCTTTAAAAAATAATAACTTTTTGTATTGATGTATATGTGACCGACAACACCTTAAAAACGATGCCATTTTAACTAACTTCCTTATTTACAGGCCTTTCCTCCTGGTGTTCTTCACCCTTTACCAAAGAGACAAGCACTTGAAAAAAGCAATGGTGCCAGTGCCGTTTTCAATCCCAGTGTCTTGCACTATCAACAGGCTCTTGCCAATGCTCAGTTGCAGCAGCACGCAGCGTTTATCCCAACAGGTATGTTGTACCCACATTGCACCAGTTTTGTCTTCCTTAGGCAGCCTCTGTGTCAGGCAGCTGCACCCAACGGGTGCTTTTCTTGTGCTCCCTGCCCTGCTTGAGGTGAAGTCTGCACAGATATTTTAATTCCTTCTGCAGAGTGTGAGAATCGAAGCAGAGATTTCAAGGTGCTGTTAGGCTGCTGTTCACACTCATAGCCTCGTTCGTCATTGTCCACAGTTTGCCCTTTTTTCCCTACCTTAAATTGGCCGTATTTTGACTCTCTCTGCCAACGCTCTCCTGAGATGAGAGGGCAAAGTTCCCTGAGCAGAAGTGCTGGGAGAAGCACCACACGGGCTTCAGAGCTGGCACGAGGAGGAGGCACGTCCTCCCGCTCCTGTTCTGCAGCCGTGGGGAGCTGCACACGGGCAGAGCAGGAAGGGCAGCACCAGCCATACCCTCCCAGTCGACACCTGTGTGGGAGCACTGGCAAAACCCCTTGCTTCTTGCAGCTGCACCCAAGGCCTTGGAGGCGTCAGATGCGTTTTCGTGGTTTTCCTTTTTGGAACGCCACCAGAACTTTTCCTTGCATTTGCAGCTAATAGCTGGGTCTGTAATTCTTCATGGGGTGATTGAAGACGAGTGAATGTAATTGGCATTGCAGTGCTCGGAACTCTGTAGAAATCGGAGTGTGCAGAGGTGGCTTGCACTGCACCGTGGCTGGTGGCAGGGCTCCTCTTTAATACTGCCAGAGAAAGAATGTGCTAAGTGCTTGTGTAAACAGCAACAACATAACCCTCTAAATTATGTCAGTCACCCCCACTCCAAACTTCCCAAAGGTAAATATCCTGCTTAATGAATTCCGTGATTTCATTTGTAATTAACAAATCACATATTTTAGGATCAGAATGTGATCGAGTGTGAACTTCTAGAGTCATTTAAAACTACATGTTTGCAAATGTGCTTGATGTTTCAGCGATGGCATTTTAGTTTATAGAAATAACGTCGGTTAAACAAGGAATGAAATTCAACACATGATGATTTCCCAATCTATCAGCATCCCCATATGTGTTTAAAGATAAAAACAAACACAGATGGCTTTGACTTCATGGAATTTGGCTATAAGGCCTGAGTAACAACCTTGGAGCCTGCCCCTGTGTTTATAGTAGTAAGTTATAGCTTGCTGTATTTTTAGCACATTGGTGCACCGGAATATCTGTGGCAGAAAACATACAGACATTTATGGAAGTGTTCGGGGGAAAAAAAAAATTAAAAAATTGTGAGACTGCCTATTTGGATATGAATGGAAGACTGCCCTGTGCTTACAAATGTACAGAAATTTCCACAAATTTATTTTACATTGTAACCCTGAGAATCCGCAGTATGTTGTGCATTATTCCTTCTCTTAAGCACTCCCTTTCAGGGAGTATTATTTGCAACTTGCAGTATTTGCTATTATTTGTAATTGGCAAGGATTTTAAATTAACTATGGAAAACACAGTAGTTTTTGAACCTTTTTTTGGGGAAACAGCGTTTGGATATTTTCCAGACTTTTGGAGTGCTCATGCTTCCTTAAGTAGCTAATTCTTTCTCCTTTTTATTGTCCATCCCTCTTTCCACCTAATGGTTGTAATTATAGTTTTATCTTATAAATTTCTGATGATAGGATGGGTGGATCTTGGAACCAAACCTTAAGGGCCAGGCTGTTGGCAAGCCCCAAAATAAGTGCATGAAAAAAGAAGAACCAGAGGGCTAATGCAGCAGATGGAGCCCAAGCCCAGGGTAGAAAACCTTTCTCAAAGTGCTGAACCTCCTGCTCTTCGCAAACACCACCAGCACCTAGAAAGGATGTTAGAGAGAGGGTTGGAGTATGGGAGGAGATTAGGAAAGGGCAACCCCCTCTCTATGATTGGGTGTCATGAGCTGTTCATTGAAGATGCTACGTCTGATACTCTCACGTTTCCTGGGAAGGTTGGATTTGGTGGGTGTAAGGACTGTCATACCACCCAGGTCTAAGGAGCAATGTGTGACATTATCTGTTGGATTTTAAATGATTATGTAATATTTTCTGAACTGGTATAATTTTCAAATGTGTTCCTTGTGTGTGTGTATGTGTGTGTGTTAAGTTAAATTTTAAGACAAGTTTTGCTGCTGGAATATATATAAAACTTAATTGTTTTATATAACTTCTCTGCTTTCTTCACCACTTGCTCCCCTAAAAAAAAATGTGGGGCTTGACTTAGCATGGCTTACTTTCAAAGTTCTGCACTTTGTTTGTTTTACATCAGTTTGATTGCCTTGTCACCTTCTCCTTATTGTTTGGTGGATGATCTTAAAAACAACAGATCTTTTCTCTCTCCCCATTGCTGTTTGTTAGTGTTTCTATAGCCTCTAGAGGACAAACTTTGTGTATTCTCTGGGGACTGTTCTTGGGTAAGGTCATTCATAGTTACACTGCTGCTGCGATGGCTCGATAAGGGGCTGTGGTAGTAATTAAGCAGGAATTCAGGAAGCATATTTGACTTTGTATCAAATATGCATGTACCTGGGACTAGTTGTCTTACCTGCCTACCTTCACCAGATTGCTGTATGCACTGTCCTGAAAATACGCTGTTCTTTTTTCCCCCTTTGGTCTTCCCAGAAAGATTAGAGGTGGACTAGGCACCAAAACTAAGCTGCATGGCAGGTGGGCAGTCCTTCCAGAGCATCTTGGAGGTGTGCTGGGAGCCTTTTGCTGGAACATTACGCATTTGAAGGTGTTCAGCTTGGGGAATTGTCACAGTGGTGTTCTCGTTGGTCAGAAGCACCTCTCCACTTCCAGTGTTACGTTAAGAATGAGGACATCAGCATCAAACACAATTTGGCAAAGCCCTGCAGAACAATATGGACTAATTCTGTTTTAACATCATTCTCTGCTGCACGCTGAAAAGTTGGTTAATGCTGGTCTGCGTGACATTGATCTGTTTGAATTATGCAGAGAGCTTTAAAATTCTCAAATAAAGTGATATTTAACCAAAAATATCTTCTTCTATAAACAAAAACTTGTTGCTGTAAAAGTGCTGAGTGGAAGGAATAAAGGACTGATAAAATAAGTGCACGAAGTCTCTTGTGTATAGACAGAAACATGCCAAAAGTCACCCAGTGTACTCAGAAGTTCAGTAAGAGCATAATCACCTTTTTGTATTAAAGCAAAGCTATGAATGACCTTACAGTTTCATTTAACTAACTTACTTCTCTGTGGTTATGCTTGACTCTCACTTTGAATGTTAACTCTAAACAGCTAACCTGTTTCTTCCCTTTATCCACTTTTTTCACCTATCATTGCATGACATGCAGGGTCAGTTTTGTGCATGACACCCGCTACCAGTATTGGTAGGTTCCAAATTTCTTTATTGATCTCTTTTTATACTGTATATGATGTATATTCACTTGTCACAAAAATCCTAGGCAAGATTTAGACAGTGACTAGAATTAAAGGTTTGTCTCTCCTTCTGGTTGAGTTTGCAGAGTGTTTAGATCTGTAGATGAAAGCTGCAGTTTAGATGTGCTATCACCTGCTATAACAACTACACTGCAAAAGCATAATACCATGAATTCCAGTCTGCTTTTCAGTTTTCAAAGTTTTCTTTCTCTTTATATTTTATATTGTCTAGTACTATAAAATCATAAAATACTGGAAAAAGCCAGCAAATTTCATCAGTGTTTTAAAGTTTCATAGTGGTGTGCCTATTTCTCCTTTTGCTGTGTGTTAGAAAGTTTTGTCAGCGTTTCCCAGAAATGCTTACTTTGATCCACAGAGGTTCTGTTGAAACCCGTGGTCTGAATTCTCCTTCTCCTCTAAATAATTTGCAGCTTGGATTTACGTTTTGGGCATACAAAATGTAAGTCCAGTGCAACACCCTCTAAGACAGAGGAGTAATCTTTCTTCTATGCTGTAGCCCTATCCCAGTGGTTTTGTTTTGTTTTTGTGGGACAACTCAGATAAGCATTTAAAATGTCCTTTAAAACGTCAAGTTAATAATTATCCTATGAAGACGTTGATTAAAATGTGTTCTTAAAATGAGCAGAAGCAGCGACTTTCACAAAATCGACCTTGCTTTTTTAGATCAAACAAAGTAGTATTTGAATCAGGAAAATTATCATCATCCTTGTCCTGATTTGTACCTCAAAGCAGATGGTAATTTAACTCTGATAAAGTCTTAACAGTTATGCAGTGCTAGTAAAAAAAAAAAAAAAGATGGATAAAGTAGATTATAGAGGAAGACAGAGTATCTGGCTTGCTTCCAAAAGAAGATACATGAAAATAATTCATTTTTAAATTGTAAAAATTTAGATAAACATTTATCAGTTCCCTCCCCAGTGCAAACCACTGTAAATTTTGTGCTAGAATTTTAGTAGAATTTTATTTTGGAGTGCTTTGTATCGACACTGGGGGAAAAGAAATTGCCCACGTAACGATTCTTAGGTAACGGGCTGTTTTGTTAGAGACCTCGTTTGCACAAGCAGTCCTCTTCCTAGAGATAACACCCGCGTTTTCAACAGTCTTTTCTCTTTTTTTTTTTCTGGGAATCGCCGATTGTGTTGACAACCTTCCTTTAATTGTACTTGTAATAAGCTATTTTCCCTTTTTTTTTATTTCTCCGCCACGCTTTCTGGCTTTGCTCTGTGATTGCATGCCATCTGCCGGTTTAACCCATGACGATGGCTTGCCGCTCTTGATATTCACCATGCCAAAAATACCACTTCTCTTACCATAATGCTGCACCCTCCTGTTCATTGCTTCCATGGTTCCCCTCCTGAAAGTACCCATGATGCACAACGCTAC